AATTAATTATTTTTTTCACATATTATATTTATTGTATAAATATATAGCAGCTCCGTCCTAGTGGACCATTTGTGTACCCACATAACATGCACAAAGATAACAAGTTGTGGGTGGGGTCATTGCTGGTGGTTAGAAGTCAGAATATCAAACCCTAATTCCCTAATCAAGAAAGCGAAAGATGTCAAAAAGCAGTGCAATCGAATCTCCCAGTGTCCTACAAATATTGTGAAGTAAAGACCCTTCTGTTCTTTCTTTGTCTAATGCACACACACGTGCTTACAACAGTACACATACTAATTAATTATGTGTTTCGTATATCAAACGATAAAAATGAGGGCTTTTTGTAGCACACGAAACACTTCTTAATAGAATATTTAGTATGTCAAAATGGATAGCACGTTTAGTATATTTGTTTGATGGGGAATTAAAATTAGATTTTTAGCAGATTTTAATAAAAGTTGATGTAATGTGTAGTTGAAAAGTTATGGACAACATGAAATGTTTGATTGATTTTTGACTTAAACTTAGATTAAAATCTATATTTTAATTTCCATCAAACATAGACTAAATAAACGAGATTAGATAAGACAATTCAATGCAACAAGTAATTGTGATTGAGAAATTGTTTCAGCATATTTTACTTTCTTTTTGAAAGCAAAATCAAATTCTCTTGATTGATTGATGAAATGTATAAAAATAATATAGAAAAAATGACCTCATATTGTTCTTCCTTTCCTATTTTCTTCAGGAAAACTGCTACACTTACAGTCATTAGAGGACTATAAATTAGTGTAGACCCACTAATTAATTAATTAGTGGATCTCACATTAATTAGAGAGGGTTGTACAAATTACAGTCCTCCGACGACCGTACAAGTATTTTTGTTTCTTCTCACAAAAGTATCAATATAAATACTTTAGTAAGAGGATGTGGGTCCATAGAAATGGACCTGAATGGTCCAGATATCATGTACCCGTTCAATTTCCGTGTCTGATTCTTCCTCCTCTCATTTTCTTAGCGAGTATGCTATGAAATGTGAAAAATATGCAGAATTGTCTATGAAAGGGTAATACTAAAACCAAAAAGAAAAAAAGATAGGTTAGGCGTAATAGTAAATCGATATGTTGAAATGAAAAATACAAAGAACCACTGCCCATTATTTCAATTCAGAGTATGTTCCTATTCACAATAAAAATAACTATGAAGAACGAAATAATCTTTTACTTTGATAATGTCGTATTTCGAGGGAGGAGAATACCATAATTCTCTAACATAAATATATTAAATAAAATTTCAATTAGAATTATTTTGGTTAGTTTAGAATCGAAAGTATATAATCTTGAAAATACAACTAAAAATTAGCCCTTTTTGACAACCATTATTTCAATTTTTTAAAATTTTTATACTCATTTTAAATCACATATTTAAAAAATAAAATATTTTGCAACTGAATTTCAAACTTTTTCCTACATTTTAATCTCATAATTTTAAAAAATCACTGTTTAAAAATTCATTTTATCAAAATAATGGCCACGAACTTAGGCCATGTTTGATAGGGTTTGTTTTCTATGGAAGTTGGAAATTATTTTTCATTTTCCAAATTATTGCATGTTTGATTGACCAAAAATTTTGTGGAATTGGTTTTCCACCCAAAGCCCACATTTTTCTTGCTTTTCATTGAATTGGTTTTTTCACCACTTTGGTAAGAAAATGATTTTTCAATTTTTTTTATACAATGGAAACAAATTCTATCTCTAATTGTAATAAATTTTTCATGTAAAACAAAATCAAACGAATATCAAAAGATCTAAAATTTTAATATTATTCACGTGAAAAATATTATCAATCAAATACAATTAATTGATAATTTCCAGGAAAACATTTCTAGCCAATTTAATTCCCTAAAATTCATTTTCTTTCCATCCAAATTCCATTATTGCAATCAATCGGAATCATTCAAATAGGATGATGGGGTCCACAGAAATTGACCTGAATGGTCTAGAGATGCTGTCACCGCTGAATTTAGAGGCTGTCTGGTAGCACTACCTAGTGAAAATTGGACCGTTGAAATAAGATAAAAAGGACTGTTGCTTGTCATCTAATTTGCAGTATAAACGAATATCAAAAGATCTAAAATTTTAATATTTTTCACGTGAAAAATATTATCAATCAAATACAATTAATTGACAATTTCCAGGAAAACATTTCTAGACAAGTTAATTCCCTAAAATTCATTTTCTTTCCATCCAAATTCCATTATTGCAATCAATCGGAATCATTCAAATAGGATGATGGGGTCCACAGAAATTGACCTGAATGGTCTAGAGATGCTGTCACTGCTGAATTTAGAGGCTGTCTGGTAGCACTACCTAGTGAAAATTGGACCGTTGAAATAAGATAAAAAGGACCGTTGTTTGTCATCTAATTTGCAGTATACTGACATGGTAGCCATTTTGAATATTTATGGCAAAATGACCTTTTTGCCATTACCTCAAAAATCATTTTGCCATCAAACAGGACATTTTTGACATTTGATTTTGATGAAGTCATTGGGGAGAAATCACAGCCAGACAGCTCCTTAGTTGAGTTATTGTGCATGTACGTACAGGATGGGGTTTCATAACAAATCTATTTTGTACATTTAGATTTATCCTTTTTAGTTTGCCATTTTTCATTCATATGGGTTACTGACTGGCCCACATGGCTGCTGTCGTAAAATTCTGTATTAGTCTACTTGAATCATCTTTGTTTTGTCCTTGATGGCGTTCCATTATTTTGCTTCTTCATTACACTAATTCATGTGCCCCTGTTAACTGAACATTGGTGCTCGTTGAGTCTTTTTGTTGAGCATCTATCGTACGAAATGCCCAAGATCTGAGTTTTAGGGGCTGGTTTCAGAATAGATTTTGATTCTCGTTTCAACTAAGTGTGAATTTTTCTTTTTTGAAAAAAGTTGGGCTGCGTACGTATGGGTGTTGTTTTAGAACACTTTTACGGTTGTAGTGATGAATTCCTGAATTTTAGTCTGCATAAATATGTATTTTTAAGGATGCTAAACTCCGTTTGCTAGGAAGTTTATGACTTTTATTGGGATGTTCCAATTTGGGTTCTTATTTGAAATTAGCTCTAGAATGGATGTGATTTGGATTCTTTCATTATGGTTGTTACTCTCGTCTGGAGTGCTTTCAAACGGGATGATTGCAAATGTTTCTTCAAGACCAGCTGTCGTTAAGGTTGGAGCTATTTTTGCTATGGACTCTACAATAGGAAGAGTTGCCAAGATTGCTATAGAGGAGGCTGTTAAAGATGTGAATTCTAATTCGAGTGTCCTCAATGGGACTGAACTTGTGGTGAAAATTCATGATTCCAAGTGCAATGGATATATTGGCATGGTCGGAGGTAATCTATTTTCCGGCATCTGGAATTATCTAATATGGCTACTGTGAGAACTTATCGAGAGAAGAAAATGTAAGGATGAGAAATAATGTAGTTACTCAGTTACTGTTTTGATTTCTTTATGATGATAATAACAAAATTAAATGTCATGCTTATCTTCAGTAACCCAGATTATTTATTACAGTTGTTAAATTGAATGTAAGAAGTTACCGATTCCCCTGGCAAAGTTTCAGAAATAAGGTCTAAAATATCCTAAATATAGAGGCGAACTTGATTTTTAGCCATGCTCAATCCTATCTTATTTGAGTTCTTCGACTTAGAGATATTTAACTGACAAAACATTGATTATTCACAGCCCTGCAATTTATGGAGACTGATATTGTTGCCGTAATAGGCCCACAATCTTCAGTGGTTGCGCACACTATACTGCATGTGGCAAATGAACTCAAAACTCCTTTCTTGTCATTTTCTGCAACAGACCCTACTCTCGCTTCTCTTCAATTTCCTTATTTTGTAAGGACAACACAGAGTGATATGCACCAGATGATTGCAATTGCTGAAATTGTTGAGTATTATCGTTGGAAGCAAGTAATTGTGATTTACGTTGACGACGAATATGGACGAAATGGGTTGTCTGCATTAGATGATGCACTCGCAGACAGACTTTGTCGAGTTTCCTATAAAGCAGGGATCCCTCCAGGAGATGTCCGTCGGATTGTCATCATGGATATTCTTGTCAAGGTTGCACTAATGGAGTCTCGAGTTATTGTTCTGCATGCATATCCTGCAGCAGGGTTCTTAGTATTTTCTGTGGCACGGTATCTTGGAATGATGGGTGATGGCTATGTTTGGATGGCTACAGATTGGCTTTCCTCTGTTTTGGATTCCTCTTCCCCTTTTCGCTCACAGACCATGATGGATACTATGCAAGGAGTTCTTGTTTTGCGGCAACACACTCCAGATTCTGAAAGTAAGAGAGAATTTTCAGCTAGGTGGAACAAATTGACTGGTGGTTCTTTAGGGCTAAATTCATATGCACTCTATGCTTATGATACTGTTTGGTTGGTTGCTCATGCTATTGATTCATTTTTCAATCAGGGTGGGGTTATTTCATTCTCTAATGACTCGAAGTTGCAAGCTTTCAAAGGGAATAAACTTCACCTTGAAGCCATGGTCATTTTTGATGGAGGTCCACTCCTGCTGAAGAGCATATTGCAGAGTGATTTTGTAGGATTGACGGGACAAGTCAAGTTTAGTCCTGATAGATTAATCGTCTCTCCTGCATATGATATCATAAACATCGTTGGAACTGGTCTTCATCAAATTGGTTACTGGTCAAATTATTCTGGGCTTTCAACTGTGCCTCCTGAGACTCTATATTTAAGCCCTCCTAATCGTTCAAGTGCAAACCAACAACTATATGGTGTTATTTGGCCAGGAAAGACTGTAAGAAATCCTCGTGGATGGGTTTTTCCTAATCATGGGAAGCAATTGAGAATTGGTGTACCCAATCGGTTTAGTTACAAAGAATTTGTATCCCAAGTTCCGGACACTAATATATTCAAAGGATTCTGCATAGATGTATTTACGGCTGCAGTAAACTTTCTGCCATATGCTGTTCCATATCAATTCATTCCGTATGGAGATGGCCATAAAAATCCAAACTACACCGAGATTGTGAATTTAGTCACAACAGGAGTAAGTATGATTAGGGTTATAGCTATTTCAAATTGCTCATATCTATGGATGAAGTCAAATAGAGCTTGGTTATATTGTTAGCTAATCATTATGTTTACTTGTGACAGTTCTTTGATGGGGTTGTTGGTGACATTGCCATCGTGACAGATCGGAAAAAAAATATAGACTTCACACAACCATATGCTGCATCTGGACTTGTTATAGTCGTCCCAGTTACGGAGTTGAATACAGGTGCTTGGGCTTTCTTAAGACCGTTTTCTCCTGCACTATGGGGCGTTACTGCTGCTTTCTTTCTTTTTGTTGGAATAGTTGTATGGGTTTTGGAGCACCGAATTAATGATGAGTTCCGCGGACCACCAAAGAAGCAACTTATAACCGTTCTATGGTGAGTTCAATCATACATGACTTGATAAGGAATGTGTATGTTTATTAAACTACCATTCAAAATAGCAACTGATAACTGTCAAATTTATTGATTTTTTTTCCAAGTCAAATTATCTTGTACTGTAACTAATAAATTTTCATAACTAAATTCTGCATCCAAGTTAATATCCCTAATACCTAATTAGTAGAACTTCCTTTTAGTTACTCTTGAAGTTATGAACTTCAAGAATGGAGTAGAAGACATCTAACACCATTCTTCGAGTCCACTGTCAAAGACCATCAATTTGAAAGGATATTTAGATTTCTTTTTGGGTAAGCTTGTTTTAAACTAGTTGTGACTGATATGTGTGGTCCTTTCATATGGTTTTGTTAGGTATCCTAAACTTTTGCTTATTTTGTGCAAGGGCTGAAATTCTGGTCTGCACACGTGGTCTGAATATAAGGAAAAATTGGTGTTTTTTTCATATTATAAGTCTTATAATGTACCTCAGCAAAGGAAAACGATGAATTTTTAATGTATTAGTTACAGATGTTCCTACAAACTTCAGAACTCATGCCTCCTATTGTTCTTCAGTTACCTTTCTCTTGATATTAGTTAGTAGTTATTGGAGAGTCTACTACTTAGAAAAAAAACCATAATCATGTCAAGTTCTTTTGATGGACTACAATACTTAATAAAACTGCGTGGATCTATGTCGAACTCTCTTCCTTGGCACAGGGTGCTTTTTCCTGGATGGATAAAAGGTTATTTCTGAATAATTGATTAATCATCTTGATGTAAAGACGTCAAAAGTAGCTGATTTTATCACAATATGTCAAAATTTATGAGTTCTTGAAGCATAACTGGTTAGATAATGACCTTTAAAAATTTTATGGTTATCTGAGCATGACATTCTTATTAGAATCCCACATTACTTGGGAAAATATAAATAATCCACTTAATAAGGTGAGGACAATCCTTCCCTAAAAAGTCGGTTTTATTAGGTGGAGTTAGGCCCAATATTCCTAACATGGTATCAGAGCTAGGCCCAATTATGCAATGTTGGGTGCCACCCAATATCGATTTGTTCACAGTTGTTTGGTATGGTCCACGCTGTGCGTGAGGGGGCGTATTAGAATCCCACATTGCTTGGGAAAATATAAATAATCCACTTAATAAGGTGAGGACAATCCTTCCTTAATAAGCCGGTTTTATTAGGTGGAGTTAGGCCAAATATTCCTAACAATTCTATTGCCATATTGGTGTCTTGAGAAAAGGTATGCAGTGTTTTGATTATAGAAAGATGCATAGTCGATTACCAGTATTTCAACTTTTTATGGAGTCTGATGGTTTAATTTGGGATTGTCATTCTTAACTAAAAGAACAGAAAACAGGTAAGAAGAACCGGTTTCTCACACCCTTTTGCTTGCTTATCCTGCAGGTTCAGCCTCTCAACCCTATTTTTTTCACACAGTGAGTGAAAACTGTGTCAGTGAATCTTTCTTGTAATATTTTTCCACTACAATTGGTTCCTGATTGATAGATTTAACCTTCTGATGCTTTTCTTTTTCGCAGAAGAGAGACCGATAAGTACTCTTGGGCGTATAGTGCTGATAATATGGCTTTTCGTTGTCTTAATAATTAACTCAAGTTACACTGCTGGTTTGACCTCTATCCTCACAGTTCAACAACTCTATTCTCCTATCAAAGGAATCGAAAGTTTAAAAGATGGTGATGATCCTATTGGATACCAAGTGGGTTCTTTTGCAGAAAATTATCTGACCAATGAAATTGGTATTCCAAAATCCAGGCTTAAGGCCCTTGGATCCCCAGAAGAGTATGCCAAGGCACTTCTAGAGGGTCCGAAAAAAGGAGGTGTTACAGCAGTTGTCGATGAACGTCCATATGTAGAGCTTTTCTTGTCAAGCCATTGCAAGTTCAGGATTGTTAGTCAGGCATTCACCAAAAGTGGCTGGGGTTTTGTGCGTAACATCTATTGCTATTCCTCCATAATTTTTGAGGGTTTGCTTGCCTGTTCGTGGACTTTGATGAAGATAATGTTTGTTTATTTCATTATCTTCTATTTTTTTCCCAGTTCCCTGTGAAAACTGCTTATGATTGGACTAAATCCAGTTTCAAAAATTCCTCGATGGCTAATTTCTTGCATCTTTATGTAGGCATTTCCTCGGGACTCCCCCTTGACCGTTGACTTATCAACTGCAATTTTAACACTATCAGAGAATGGGGATCTCCAGAGAATCCATGACAAGTGGTTGAGGAAAAGCTTGTGCACTACAGATGATACCAAGATTGAATCAAACCGTCTCCACCTGAGAAGCTTCTGGGGCCTATTTCTTATGTGTGGGATAGTCTGTTTTCTTGCTTTCGTGATATACTTGTGGCAGATTATTCACAAGTATCGGGAAGCTGTCTCTGTTGAATCTGCTTCTAATGGACAGGTTAGCTCACATTCTAGACGCCTTCAAACTTTAATAACATTAATTGATGAGAAGAAGGATCAATCGAGAAGGGACAGAAAAAGAAGGAAGCTCAACGGATGATTATGTGACCCTAAGTAAGGACAATGAACTGCCCAGAAACTTTGAAAGGAGACAATCAGAAAATTCCTCTTAAGAACAACATAAACTAGAGGAAGTGAAATCTGTTCACTGGTTAAATTACATCTACCTGTGTCATTCAATGTAATATACTCGTGTTTGTATCTTATGTGATGTCAGTAATTATGTGTATATAGGGAAAGTATAAGTCTTCATCAAAATGTATATATGCATTTAGAAATTTGTTTTCTTAAATGAACTGTGTTCATGTATGGCGACACGTATTTTTTTCTTTCTTCCACTCTCCCTCTTAAGAATTATGGGCATCAGCACTGGGGATTGAACACAAATAACAACGTGCCTAGGTAATACGCATTAGTACGTCTTCATTAACAGATACTCTCCTTGTATGTCTTGCACAGGCGACTCTGCACTCCTGCTCTCATTCAGGTGTGAAAATCTCGATTTGCTTGCATGGCCAATATCACTGTATCATGCAATGTGCATTTTATGTCTCTCCTCTCCTACTGCCATAACCATCAGCGCATGCATGATGACAGCTATAATCAGAATCCCATTCTTGGACGCCATCATTGTGTACTTGAGTGAAATCTTGATAATTAACAGAAAATATGATGAAGGTATATTTGTAAGAATTGATTCGATTCGAATGGAATAATGCTATTTATCATTAGGATGATGAAATATCGGTGATGTGGCAGTCTATGTGAAATAATGAGATTGAACAATTCAATTTTTACGGAAAAAAGGGGGAAGAGACATGGTCTCAAGAGAGAGAAAATGTGAGGGATAATGAATTACCACATTACCGATATTCCAGCATCATGATCATAAATAGGATACTCATTCGAATTCAGTGATGATGTAAAAGGCCAAATCTTCTCAACTATTTAAAGATGATGAAGGGTGTGTCTTGATGCATTCGAGTCTGTTCATAAAATGATGTACAATTAAATTTTCGGTTATACATGTACATTACAACTTATAGATTTGTTTACCAACATATGATATGACAAGATTTGATTATGTCAAAATCTCATCAATCAAATAAAAAAAAAAACTTGCCCACTTTCTTTTTGACAGCTTTGTTACCGTATATAACTAGAATCGAATTTGGAAACGCTGATTTTTAGGAATCATGTTTGTTTCCTTTTATTTCCTTTCCTTGTATATTCAATGTTTGTACATTATTTATACACTAAACACAGCAATAGAAAGCAAGTTAATTTGACATAAATTCTCTCAATTGTTCGAACCTTTTTGACAAGCTTATCAACCTGTAAAAGATTATGTAAATGGTTATCAATCTGTAAAAGATTATGTAAATGATGATTATTTTCCCCCCGTCAATTAATCAATTTCAAACTTGCCAATGATTTTTATCAGTACGATGTCATTTATTAATTAGCAAAACTAAGTATTCATAATAAACCTTCCTGTTTTCTTGGCATAAAGCAACATGCATGAATCACAGCCTACATCCCCATTACTCATGAGAAAAATATGGAATAAGTAATGGGGATGTAGGCTGTGATTCATGCATGTTGCTTTACTCCCAGAAAACATGAAGGTAATCAGAAATGATGATAAGCTAAAAAAGAATACTGCAGTTACTGAGATGAAAACCTGACAAGAAAATAAATATGTTAACTTAGTATTAAAATGTGATAAAATTTGATGTCCACTGATCCGTTACATCCATGGGGCCAAGAACCCGTCACAGGCTGCACCCATGCTCGAATTCGCTATGCGTGAAAATCTCGATTTGTTTGCATTGCCAATAATTAGTCATGTATATTTTTATTTCTCTCCTCTCCTTTTGCCATAGCCATCAGTGCAAACATAACGACAGCAATAATCAGAATCCCATTCTTGGATGCCATTCTGTGCTCGCGTGAAAAGCTTGATAATTAACGGTAAAGAGGATGAAGAAAGTTTATTTGTAAGAATTGATTTCATTCTAACGCAGAGATGATTTAAAGGGCCAGATTTTCTCAACTATTTAAAGATGATGAAATGGTTTGTGTTGAAGCGTTGAGTCTGTTCATAAACTATGCACAAGTTTTGCCATGTTTCACGTTGAAAAGAAGAAATTTAAAAAATGAGGCAAACTCAGATTGTAACGAGCAATCATTTTCAACTTATTTACAGAAAATATGATTAAATCAATATTTATGGCTTTGGCGAAAACCAATCTGATACATATCAGAAAAAAAAAACATTCATATCAAATTTCCTGAAAATCTACAAAGAATCCGAAACTTGACTGCTTTGATTTCTCTCACAAAGATAGATAAAATGAAAAGAATCACATTAAAATGTGATAAAAGTTTTGTGATGACACATTAAAATGAAATAAAAGCTTTGTGATGATTGTTACACCCACGAAGGCAGGAACCCATTTTGACCATCCACTGATACTTTCCTTGTATATCTTCTTGCACAGGCAACTCTGCATCCGCTCTCGCAATCCCCGTGCGTAAAAATGTCGACTTGCATGCATTCCGAATAGCACTCTATCATGCAATGCGCATTTGTATTTCTCTCCGCCCCTTCTGCCATTGCCATCAGCACAAATGCGGACATTATGAAGGCGATAAACAGAATCCTATTATTGGCGGCCATTGTGTGCTTGCCTGAAAATCTCGGTAATTAACAGCAAAGATGATGAAGAAAGTATATTAGTAAGAATTGATTCTAATACACATACACTGATGTAAAAGGCCAAATCTTTTCAACTATTTATAGATGATGAAGAGGTGTCTGTCGCCGTTTTTGTGTCTTTTCAGTTTTCGGAAAGAACATGTCCGTTCATAAACGACAGTTAAATTTATACCATCATCTGGTTAATTAATGGACTTTGAAGATTTTTTATAGTTAATAATCTTTAAGAAATCAATGATTAATCAGTGAAATTAATAGTACTTAGCGACAGCATAAACCTTCGTATTTTCTATCTTCCTCTCAATATGTTATCTTCTGTTGACATGGTAACAAGAACAGAAAATCCGTGAAACATTGATATTTTACATTTTTTCAGTTGAAGGCAAACTCATAGCGCATCAAGCACTCGTTTCCCAGTTTTATCATTTCACTTGAACAAACAGGAGGTTTTACTGAGTTGATCTTAAGATGGAGAAGGAAAAAAATGTATAAAGTGTAAACCAGAGAGAAAGAGAGTGAAAGCAAGAACGCAACGTCTGAGAACAAGCCTTGACGGAGAGAGGAGGTAGCGAATCGATGGCTTCCCGGAGGAGTTTCAGGTCATCTTTGTGTCTGGCGACAGTGGAGGACCTACCGTGCACCTTGTCATCCCTCTCGATAATATTAGCATCTTTATCGGCCGTTTGAATCGGAGCTCGCCTCCCATTCACATCGCAAGGCGACGGCTTCCCCTAAACTGAAGAAGAAAAAAATAAGGAAAACGATACCTACCGGGGTATATGCCGAAAACCCAAATTGACCAAAATCCAAAATAAGGAATGACTTGGAGGACCAAATTTTCCTGTTCTGTAGAACCAAATTACGTGTTCTAATGACTTGGAGGACTAACTTAACCGCAAAGAATAGAATAGATTACCATTTCTAATTAGTTGGAGGACTATAATGATTAAGACCAAGTTCGAAATTGATTAATTAACCAGTTGATGGCATCAGTCAGAATTACATTCATTTTGTGAATGCATTTACCATAACGAAATGATACATTAACATCCCAACATCTTTTTAAGAGAACTACGATCCAAACTTTATTGCTATAATTTCTCTCAAAAGATTAATTGAAGAATTCGTGACATGTTGAGTTGACTATCAATCTACTATAACTTTGTATTTAATTAAAGCCTCCACGACAAGGTTGGCGATACTTATATAGAACTTTTAACGGGGATTTTTGATTATCATTTTGAGCGTTTTGAATTA